GTGTACTGGTTGCAGGTACGCAAAGAACCTTCCTAGCTAAATTAGCAAGCATAGGAAGTTCCAGTCGCTTTCTCTTCCAAAAGAGCAATGCATCATCTTGTGGGATATTTTTTTTTTAGAAAAATATGGCATTCTTGTTCAAAATTAGTAATATTGTAATAATCATTAATAGGTAGGGAATGTTTTCGAGCTAATTTCGCTATATAAAAGCATGATGTACCATCCTCGACTTGAATTTCACTCAGAGCATTTCTATCATGCTCTAAAAGTTTTAAATGTCGTATTAGAAATTGCAATGATGTAGTAGAATTTGAATTTAAATATTGTGAAACAACTTTGAGATTTTGAAATTTTGGATCAAGTAGAGTTGCTAATATCTAATGTTTAAATAATTTTATTAATAAAAATATAAAATAACTTGTAGTTCAGTGATCGGAAACCTATGGTCAAGCTTTTTTTCATATTTTCTTTTAAGCATATAAAATCTGAGCAATCAGATCTATTGATTTGTATATGAGCTTCTATTTCACTGCATAATAATAACCTTAAGTTTATTGTAGATCCTTTTTGTGAGGAGAGAAATTCCACCGACTCTCGGAATGAATTTAATACTCCGTAAAGCTCATCTATCATATCCCATTCATTATTAAAGAGTTTTAAAGATTCTTTTCTTATTTTATTTAGAACATTATTTTGTTTACACTGCGAACACTTTCTAGCATAATTAATATGCTATGCCAGCGGGTAGGGCAATTTAATTTTAAAGTTTTTGCATTAATTGGATTGGTTGGTGCAATGCCATTTCTATTATCCGATTCATCAGACATATTAAAATGGTCACCAAGGTATGGATCAGAATCATCAATACCCAAGATATTACCTGTCTCATAAATTGACTGCAGACATTTACGAAGTTCAGCCTTAATTTCACATTCCAAATCAGCTACTCGATATCTGAGGGCTGAAATTTCTCTAATTTTTTTAATGAGAATATCAATTTTGGTAACTTTTATGTCATCAACTGTAACCAAATTATGAAGTCCATGCTCTAAACATAAATGATGCTCATAATTTTTAACAATACTTTATGATTTTATTTTAACTAGATTTATGTTTACTTTTTTTCTATCTCGGAAAATTTTTAAGTAAAAATCTTTTAAAAATCTGTACTATTTTTTGAATACTCTTTAAATTTTCGAGTAATATTTTAATAAATAATCATCTAGCATTTTTTTTCAGCCGCATTTATATTTTATTCTATTTTTACATATTTATAACATTGCAACTGATTTCAATTTTTGATTGATAGTATAGTCTAAGGAGCTTATAGTTAACTCCATATGCCTATTAGCAAGAAAAACCACGATATTTTTTTGCATATATGCTATTCGGCTTCGATAAAATTTTACGAAAATAAGTAATAACGCAGAGAAATTTTGATAATAAAATTTTCTGCTCAAAGATAGAACCCTTTTCCAAAATCACATTTATAAAAAAACAATTGATAATCATCAGAATAAATTAACCTTGTAATAAATTTTTATTTTACTCGGGTAGTTTCAAATTTATAAAAACGAGTGGATATTATAATTTTCAAATAGGTAAGAAAAAAGTTAGCATTTAATAGTTCATTTCAATTCGAACCCATTTTAAATCAAAGTTTGCCCTAACTACTTAATTAAATATCTAGTTATGCTAGAGTCGAGATCAAAGGATCGATGATACTAGATTTGATCCTAATATTGGTAACCTGGATTTATTAATTTAAAAAAATCTAACTCCATCGTATATTTTAGCATCCTCTGTCATAATTTCTATTTTTCTCATAAATTTTATATTTACAAATTTTACAAACCTAGATCTAGAAGATAATATGCATACATTTATTGAAGTAACATATATAAATGAGAATCTTACCTTTTCCTCAGATCTGTATAATATTATCATCATTTCTTAATATAGTATTCCTTCACTGAATGAACAGCAATTAGCAACAATAAATCACCCCATTAAGCTTAATTGGCTTTAAATCTGCCATAAAATCTAAAGGTAAAAGAAAGGTTAATTAACCATTTGGAGAACATGCAGGATCAACCACACGCAGATGCCTATTCAAATGATTTTATGGATAAAATTGACACTTTCTTTAGGAAATATACTTTACAAAATGTGTTTTCCTTTAATAATGTTTTTTTTATTCAGATGATTCATTAATATTATTAATACTTTTGTAAATTAATTTTTTTTATTGAATATAACACCACTTTGGCACCAAGCACTCCTGTGGAGTGATCGTACAAAAGCTAAACATGTTATTAAAGACATGATATTGATCCTTTTCTTTTGAAAAGATTGTAATTCGATCTTTTAAAAGGATCAATTAACAAGCCTAAGTTATATCCAATGCATGTAGGAAAATATAATATGGGTAATTCCATGAAAAATCGATCAGCGATTCGGCCGACCATCTCAAAAATGAATGAAACTTGGCTTACTTATTTATGTTGTAAATGTTAATAAAATCAAAATTTTAGAGTGCTAGCTCAGCCAGATTCAAAGATATACGCCTTCAAAATCGAAAATCGCGAAGTGCGTGATTTCATTAAATCTTGTTATTTTAAAAAATACTTAAGATAGAGTTACAAATTATTTATCATTTTATAGCCCTTAAAATTTTACTTTGGAATATATAAAAAAAATTAAAAAATTAACATTGTTAGGAAGGGATTTTTTTTGGGTGTTAAAATTCACTAAAAATGTTTATTACCTTTATATTAAACGATTTAATAAAAAATCTCGATAGCCATTTTTGATTTTTTAATTTTAATTGAATTTTTATTATTTTTATAAATAAAGAAATGTAATATAGATGGCGTTATATTAAAATATTTATCATATATAATTTTTAATAAAAATATGAATAGTATTGTGATTAAATTAAAAAATCAATTAAGTATAACCAATATTATGTCCCGGATATTTAAGCAGGCAGCCCACAGATATTATTTTATTGACGCTATATTGTAAAATAAACATATTTTAAAATTTTATATTCAAACGATTATAATTTTGCGCTTATTAATAGAAATTCCTAAGGCCATAATTTGTAGATACATCCTTTCAATGTTGTGGATCTACTATCGTTATTATTTGAAAATAACGATTTTATCAGCTTATTTTATTTTTTTTAGTCCTATAATCGCCACCAATCAATCATCATATAGTTTAAAATTTAAACACTTTTTACAACCAAATGAATTTATGATTTCTCTGAAAATTATGCATCTATAATCCAAGACTCTGTTCAATGATTCCACTGGAATATTAATCAAGCCACTATCCATCATATGATAGCATATTATAATAATAATGGCAATATAGAAAACCTTAATTATATGGTAATATCAGTCACTTCAACATAATGTTATTGCAGTTCATTTATAACAGACTAAAATGATAAATTTTGACCATTCAATTCAGCAAAAAGCCAAACAAAATATATTACAGCTCTGACAGATCAGCTGCGTAATATAAAAATAGAAATTTTTTTATAAATCTGTTATCATGAATCAGATTATGGTGTAGCAGCTGAATGGCACTTTTCAACTACATCTAATGAAAAAGGTCCAAGTGACGGCTTTGGCGGAACATTAAAAAGATTAGCAGCACGTTCAAGCCTTCAGCGCATCAGTTCTGGACACATTTTAACGCCAGTTGATTTATATCAATTTGCAAAACAAAACATGCCATCAGTAAATTTTACATATATAACCTACGAACAATACAATTTACAAGAGATTAAACTACGAGAAAGATTCAATTTAGCTCGTCCCATTCCAGGAACTCGGAAAATACATGCTATATTTCCTTTGAGTTTAAGTAAACTTAAATCATCATATGCAGAGGACTTTCAAATTAACAATTACTCAAATGCCGATAATTTGTCTTTTGCAATTTTGCCGATATTAAAGGATTCGTAACATGTGTTTATGACGATCTTTGGTGGTTAGCCACAGTACTAAAAAAGAATAAAATTACTGAGGAGATATATTTGAGTTTTACATCCCCATGGACCATCACTATCCTTCTTTTACCCCACAATTGCGTAAAAGATATGGTGGTTACCCATTAATCAAATAAAAACAATAGTAGATCCTATTACAGTTACAGGACGTACCTACAAATTATCGTCTCAAGAAATTCTATTAATAAACACAAAATGGGATAAGATTAAAACAAAGGGTATTTATTTTTATATTGTTTGTGTATAAAATTTTAAAATATGTTTATTTTACAATATAGCGTCCTAATAAAATCATATCTGTATGGGCTGCCTGCTATCGCCCCACGACATCATTCTTGGTTATACTCAATTTATTTTTTAATTTTAATCACAATACTATTCATATTTTTATTAAAAATAAAATATTATAAAAATTTTTAATATAACGCCATCTATATTGCATTTTTTATTTATAAAAATTCAAATAAAATTAAAAAAACAAAAATGGCTATCGAGATTTTTTATTAAATCATTTAATATAAAGGTAATAAACATTTTTAGTGAATTTTAACACCCAAAAAAAATACTTTCCTAACCATGTTAATTTTTTATTTTTACCGGAAATAAGTAAACATTTGAAATTTTTTAATTTTTTTATATATTCCAACATAAAATTTTAAGGGATATAAAATGATATATATTTTGTTATCTATCATAAGTATTTTTTAAAATAACAAGATTTAATAAAATCATACACTTCACGATTTTTGACTTTGAAGGCGTTTATCTTTGGATCTGGTGGAGCCAGCACTCTAAAATTTTGATTTTATTAACATTTATAACATAGTCTGATATAAAAACATTTTTATTGAATATTCAAAAACTAAAAATAAATTTTTTAAATTAAAATTTAAATATATCTAATAAGGAGAAATATATTGTTTTCAATAGGTTTCAACTAAAAAATTGTTTATTTATAATAAAATTTACAAAATAATTAATAAACTGTTTATTAACAAAAAAGAAAAAATCATTTAAAATTCAAATCAAATTTTATTATAAATAATTTTACAAGTAAAATTTACATGAAATGATTGTAAAAGTTTCCAAGGAACTCAATGGCTTTCCCTTCTTAATATATCTATTGTAATTATTATCAGTGATATTGATGACACCTTTATTTATTTGGTCATTATAGATTAATGCCATGTAACTTAAAAATATATTAGACCTTGAAAATTAATTAATATAAATAAATTCCATAAAGTAAATATGAAATATATAAATTAATCAACAATGAAATGTGGAGTAACATTAGAATAAGAATGGGCTGGAGGATCAGGTATATATTTGTCTTTTTCTCCTTTGCATATGGCCTTTAATCTTTCAATCCTGAGAGTTTGATATCTTTTAAGCTATTTACAAATTATAAGTATTAAAAGATATTTTTAAGTTTCACCACTTTTAGCTTATTTGCAAAGTAGGCTAATATTTTGTAATCATTAGTTATATTTTAAAATAGGGGTTTATCATCTATATATTTATAATTTATACATGTTTAGCACCATAACGACATTCTTGCAGATCTTCATATTCTTCCCAACATTTGGCATGCATATTCATTGGTCCATAAGCTTTCAGACATTTTGCCATTTGTATCTCGAATATAGTACATGTACTAGGCTAAATTATATTATGTTAAATAAACAATTTTTTTTTATACAAGATGTGGCCTCATAAGTTGATCAAGATCAGTAAAAGGTGTCAGTATAGGAGGAAAGATCATCTTAAAAATAAAATTTTGGGAATAGGTGAATAAATGAGAATAAAATATCTTATGTAAATTTAAAATTTCATATGGTTTACTAAATGTTGTCCCAAAATTAGCAATAAAAATAAAATTTGTTAACTTCTAAAGAATATTCAAGGATTCAATTATATTCTGTATAGAATATTTATTATATGTTTTTTCTTATTACAAAACCTTTTTCATATTACTCTATTTACTAAAAATCCGAATTATAAAATAATAATTATTGAAACCTTAGAACAGTTCTACTATTGGCATAATTATGAAGTAGAAGAGTTATTAGCTATCCTTTTAAATTATCCCCCTCCCTCCTCCCTTTCCTAGAAGAAATTTTTTAAAGTGCATTTTATTTCTCTTGAAACATCTATTTATACGTTACAACATATTTGTAATTTGTTGCAAAATATTTAGATACTTTAAAATAAATATATCGACGATTTTATTATGTTGAGTATATGAAATTCGTTTAATATATTGACAGTTTGGTATTACACTATTTCAAGAAAGTTATAAGTGGCCACTTATCATGAAATCGGGTCATATCTTCCTTAGATTTGATCATTTCAGCGTACATCAAAATATTCGAATAATTAAATATAGAGAATATTAAGGTATTAAATACTTTCTTTATTCTATAATCTTTAACATTATTTTTTCTAAGTTAATAATTCATTTATTTTTATTGCCGTAGACGTTCCTCAAATAAAGATGTGAAACAATGGTACATTTGCTTTAGACTACAAAAATACTAAGTTGCCTATTTTATTCTTTTTTTCCAAGTTAATGCACTAAAGTGAAAAGTATTTCTCACTCTGAAATTTTAAGATATATATTTTTAGGCCCTAATCACAATATATTATAATAATATTTAAATCGCGACCCTTCTAAAATATATTTTTATTCAGATTTTAAATTTACTCCCAAACCAAAGTATCCACTTAAAAAATTGCATTCCCATTGGATTTGGTTCCCTTTATGTCTTTTAGAACCTGAAGATATTCGCAATATTTAAATAAGGTATTAAAAACTCACATCAATATCATTAACCTCACTAATTTCAGATATAATTGATGACATTAGATATCAATTAAAATGAGAAGACAAATAAGATAAATATTTAATAAACTAAGTTTTATATCGCTTTTTTTTATATTTTTATTAACCCTAAGTAAACAAATATGAAATAAAATGTCAATAATCATAATTAAAATATAAAGTAATCAGTAACATAAAACTATTACCAAAAAAGGTAACGAATTATCCTGATTCATTATTTGCATGTTTATCTGTAAAAATTAATACTTTTATTATAGAATTATAATACAACGTTATTGCTAAACATCGATCAAATGTATACATTGCTCACAATCATAGACATTATTTTCCAAATAAACAATTTCTAGATCACTTTCTGCTAACCTTTTAAAAGTAATTTAAAAGGGTTAGAATCTATCAGTAAACTCATATTCATGCTAAACAATATACGATAATAATGTATTTATTGTAAATGGGAGTTTTTAAATTGAATTCATGTTCTAAAAAATAACTCTTTCACGTTCACAATATTTTGATAGTTGTTAGAAGAGCATTAATAATTTAAATTATTCTTTTTAAAATTTATGAAGGGACTACTATTATTTTTAAAAAGTGTCATGTAGACTAATGTTGTTAATTGGGTGGTTGTGTAAAACCCAGACCTGGGGTTTGGGTCTAAAAAATCGACAAAACCAGTTCTGAGCAGGAACCCTGAGCATAGATCCGGGGTTCAGACCATGGGTCCAGTTGAATAATGTTATTCCAAATAAAAAGTATAAACATAGCATCTTCAATGGTTAGATAGTAAAATCCTGCAAGCAACTCAGTTTAGGCTCAAATTTTTTTTAATCGGGACCATTTAAGGCTTAGAAATACCAAAGATTAAAAGGAATTATTATGTTGGTAAGCCGAGCAATTAATTCCAGATATGCCATCCTATTCAGAACTAGATACGAACTTTCTGGCCGGATTTTTTTAATTTCATCGCTATTTTTTTTATGTGACAAGTACATCTGTTTATAAAATGAGTCGCAAATGTTTGTACCGAAAAAGGCATAACAATATAATATTTATTTGCACCGAAAAAAATATATAATATTATTTTTCATAAAAGTTTGGTTTAAACTTAATCAATTTTATTTAACTTTGTTATAAATAAACTATTTTACTTATCCAAAAATAAGCCAACCTACAGTAAAAAAAACGTCCTACAGGAGTGCTTAGAGGTCTGCACAAGGTGGGTTTTTGGACCAAAAGCCTGCCCCAAATACCCGCCCACCCAATTTAAAAAAAATTTAACCCGCCCGCCCATAGCTTTCAAAAAAATATATATCCGCCCGCCCCGCCCATTTGTCTAAAATTTCTTACCCGTCTGCCCGCCCGCCTATTAATCTAAAATTTTTTACCCGCCCGCCCATTATTTATAAAATATTTTTTAACCCAAACCTGCTTATAAAATTTAATTATGGCCATTCTTTCAATTTTTTAAGCATTTAATAAAAATATTTCAGCATTACACCTCTACAAAAAGTTTAAAATTTAGGAAATTAATTTGAGCATAAAAAATATTAAATTTAAATTATGACAATTTATTTGATCAAATAAAATATTTATGAAAAATATATATATATATAATTGATATTATATGTAATTATAATGCAAAAATAATAATGAATCAACATTTTCTGAATTCAAACAAGTTCTTCTTTGTTCTAAAAACTTTCCAGCAATGCGTCAGAAGAAGCACTAGTTGCAGGAATTGCCAATATTTTTATTGCTAATCTTGATAGCTTTGGCAACTCTTGTCGTTTCCACCAAAGTAGGATATCCGTTTGAAGTATATCTTCTTACTCAAGTGATATCTGGATGTCCCGTATACAATATATGTAAAAGTCTTTTTAGAAGTGAGTACGGAATGATTAATTTGCCATTACAAAATAAAATATCATGCTCTTTTTGATAGCAACAGAACAAAATACTCTACAGTTTTATAAACCGGACCTCGAGAAACAGGTGCATCTAACCATGGATTTGGAGCTGTACTCATGCAAAAATATGATATAACGATTCCAATAGCTTACACCTCAAGAACTATACAAGATGCTGAAAAGAATTATTCTACAATAGACAAAGAAGCAAAAGCAATAATAAAGGGCGCAGAAAAAATTCATAACTATTGATAGACGAAAATTTAAAATACGAACAGACCACAAACCTTTAATAAAGACATATGGTAATAACAGAGATTTAAGCTCATTAGCTCATTAACAAACCAAAGATTATTACATTGGGTTTATAAATTATCTGCATATGATCATGATATAATGTACAAGAAGGCGCTAATAATATAATTGCAGATGCTTTATCGAGAAACCCAATAGAGAAAAATGATGATATAACAAGCGAAAATAAAAGAATGAATATAAGAAATCTTACTTATGACACATTAACTTTATCAAGAAAAGAACTTAGAGAGGCAACCGCAAAAGATCTAATTTTAAGAAGTGTAAAAATATTAATAAATGGTACAAATATACAAAATCAATCACCAGAATTACAAGCTTTTAGAATAAGAATAGATAAAATAGAAAATAATGAGGGTTTTTTTATTTGGAATGGCAGATTAATCATTTCGCACTCTCAAATGAGTTTTACATATATTGCATACGGGACATCCGAGTATTATATAAATGAAATCCATTACGAGACATTATATATGGTGGGTCGAAAAACTAGTAAACAGCTGTAGTGGTTGTCAAAAACAATACCAGTGGAAACCGAATCAATAAAGCTAGGAGTAAAACAGTAGAAACAATGGAACCAAGTCAAGAATGAATTCAACCCTGATACCCAACGAGGGAATGAATGCCAACAAAAAGATTAATAAATGGTATGAATATACAAATCAAGCATCAGAATTACAAGCTTTTAGAACAAGAATAGATGAAATAGAAAATGATGGAGTATTTTATTTTGGAATGACAGATTAATCATTCCGTACTCACTTCAAAAAAGAGTTTTACATATATTGCATAAGGGACATCCGGGTATTACATCAATGAAATCATTACGAGACATTATATATGGTGGGAACAATTAGATAAAGATATCGAAAAACTAGTAAAGTATTCTTCACTCAATAACGTTGGTACAATAAAAAAATAAATATTGTTATTGATCATTTAATTAACCATGATTTTTCTTTAGTTTGTTTTTGAACAAAAATTTCAAATTTCCTTAACCTGCCCGCCCATTGTTTCAAAATTATTTCAACCCGCCCGCCTGCCCATTCTCGAAAATTTTTTTACCCGCCCATCCTCCCGCCCACTTAGATGGGCGGGCGGGCCGAAACCCCGCCCAATGCAGACCTCTAGGAGTGCCTGATGTAAAGGAGATATTAAATTAAAATTTTTAACAAATTTTAAAAAGTAACTTGAAAAGCATTTAGTTTACTTTTGTAGTTACTTTCAAAAAAATATAATTAATTACAGTTATTATTACTGTAAGTAGTGTCTTTAGCAATACTAATATTTATATATATAGTAAATAAATAAAACCCGAGCTAGTTAAATTATATGTAAATATACTTTTTGCACATATATATTGTGCTGGATATAAATAAACACTTTGCATAATTCTTTTAAGAATGATAAATCATATTATTAGGCATTTAGAGTATAATATTATAAATGTAAATGGGAAACATATTATTGAGTATTTAGAGTATATTATTATAAATTCCATCAATTAATATGATGAAATATTTCTTTTCCATATAAATAATACTATAAGTAAATAAATATATAAATAAATATTTTATCTAGAATTTTGATTCTAATTTTTGGGATTCAATTTTAAGGCGAATAATTATAGAATAAAATGTCTTTTCCCCATAATATACAACATCATTTCTATTCATAATTGTGAAAAAGTAAACAAAAATAAATTAAAATATAAGAAATGATTATCGGTATGTTACATCACCTTAATTGTTATCACAAAGAGACTCATTTTAATATATTTTAATTTTCACTTAGCATTGAAACATAAAATAGCAACTTATAAAACTATAATATTATAATTTCAAAAAAAAAACTCATTTGAAATTTTTATTTTGGGAAAAACTACAATTCATTTATTTAAAAAACGTGAAGATCAAGGACACACATCATAAAAGCCTCGATTATATTTTCTTATTTATAGGAAAAAAAGAATTATATAAGAATATATATACCGAGTGGCTAAAAAAATGTCGTGTTTTGAAATCTCTATAACTCGAAAACGTGCCACTCATTCTTTTAATATTTTATATCTTACTAAATATCATCATAATTTTTGGGGATTTGATCAAGTCATTTTAAAAAAAATTGAGTAAAAAAAGAAGCTAATTATTGGTAAAAAATAACTCAATACCTTCAATTATTTATTTTTTTCTTTCAAAAAATTGGCTAATTGGGTTCCCATTATGTTGGACTATAGCCCTAGCCTTTTTTCAAATTTTTGCCGTAATTATAAATTATAACATAAAATATTTAGATTATCCAACAAATCTGCTTATTAAATGTCTTTTATTAACACCCCAAAAAATTAAACTAATTTTGTAAAAATAATGATACGAGGAAAGAAATCGAAATGTAATAAGTTTGATTCATGAATTACCTAGGAAAAAGTTGAATATTCGTGCAGTTAAATGAGCTTTAATGCGACTTAGAAATACAGGATTCATATTTGGGCCGAACATAACCCATGATCTAAATATACTGTATTACAAAGTGTGAAACGAATTAGAGACTTTAGTTTATAAAATAGGCTATAACCATATGGATCTTTAAACAAACTTTAGATAAAATTTGTGAAGTATGGGCCTTAATTCGCAAGAAAAAATTATTTGGCGTTCAATATGTCATAGATGAAGATTTTTAGGTGTATACAAGATAAAAGAGAACCGATCCAATATATATTCTGATAATTATATTTATGTATTTTGATAATTCTATAATGGTGTTCAAATAAAGATGGGAACTCATTAAGGTAGTTTAAAAACAAATAAATAATTGAATCTTAAGTTATTTTTTTATCAAATTTTACAATTACTTATCTCAATTTTCAAAATCTAAATATATTTGGGGATATTAAGTTCGATATATTCAAAATTTTATAATAAAAATAAGTGTTTAGAAATATATGGATTTCAAAATGCGACGATTTTTGTAGCCAGCTCTTGGGTCATTCCTCGTGAAATCGATCAAATTTATTTTCTAAATCGTGAGTAATGGAGTCGGAGATTAAAACGTGTGTATAGGATTCGGAGATAATTAACTTATTAAATTACAACTAATTAAAAATTTTAAAAGTAAAAATTAACAAGTGATCTAAAATTATAAAAGATTGTTTATTTATATAAAATTAACATCATCCGATTATTACATAATTAATATCGTCTGATTCCTATATTCATATTTAAATTTTTATGAATTATAAACAAAAAAAGCTATTTTTAAAATAAAAATATCGCCTGATTAGTGATTACATACAATTAACTTTATATTATTAGTCAAAATATTATTTTTAAAATAATATCGTCTGATTACAATTAACTTTATATTATTAGTCAAAATTTATATAAAAATTTAAATAATTGAATATAAAAATAATTTATTCTACCAATCACATAAGATTTTTTCAAATCGAATGAAGGACCTATGCAATTTATTTTTTAAGCTCTAAATCAATTTGTTCATGAGATAAGGCAGACCAATATTAAAAAATGGCCTCCTACCTAATTCGGAAAAGCCGATAAAAATATATATTACACAAAAAAATGTAACTGATAGACCCATATTTGGTATCACGATAGCCCTTGAATCCCTTCCTTAAAAATAATTTAAGTTTTAATATGTACTTGAGCATAAAATTTTTCTAAAATTTACATGTTAGATCAATATAAATTTATATTGAAAAAAATAGGTTGATAACCATTGCTTTTTTTTAGTTAAGTCATTATGGATGGAAATGTGATAAAAAATCTAAATTATCATTTTAAAAAAATATATAATTTATCAACATTTATTTAGTTTTGAAATAAAATGTCATTATTTATTCAATGATTTCTATTTTAGTGCGGTTTATAAAAAGCATGTATATGTAAGCGTGTAAGTATGCGTTGCTGTAAGGGGATTTACAATTTCTATAATTTGACAAAGGTATACTTCATCAGGTAGAAAAAAAAGATAAAGAGATTCCATTTGGACGCAGAAAAATAATTTACATTTCTTCGGTCATTTATTTTTATCTACAACAACTGTCAACCACCTAAATATATGGCAAAAACAAGTTATATAGCCATATCATTCATACTAAATCTCGTTTTCACTTGTTTGTTTCAATAGTTCCCAGATCTAGTGGAATAATCACATGTATCTTTATGTGCCATTTATTGCGCGTGCTTTATTAAATCTGTTACATAATTTAATTTATTCTTCGTCTTAATCATTACTAAATAAATTGTTAAAAAGATTTGATAAACCCCGCACAATAAGTGCCAATTAATATATACATGCGACATTTATTTAAATGCTCACAAAAATAAAGTGGAAAATATTACTTATCAAGATATGAGATTTAAAGGGAATGATATTTATGGCTATGTAACTTTGTGGTCTTGTTAAACGGCTCGATTTGAGCCAATTATTTGGCTGGCTCAATATATTAAATAGAAAAATATTGTCTAATCCTCTAGATTTCGTTAATAGATGCCCAAAATATTCAGGCGTGCGTAATATTATTCTGGATGAAATATTGAGTCAACCATTTTAAAAATCGATTCAAATTGAGCCGTTTAACAATACTACTTGTTTGAACGAATCCTTTTGGTAGTTGGAGGTTGTTATAGATAAAAATGATATAATCGAAGTGCAAGTTTTCGGTATCTACATGAACCTTTCCATCCATCACTTCCCCACATAATGAAGATAAATTATATATAACTGTCAATAAGATTATAGGAATTGTAAATCCCGTAACAGAGGCGTACTTACATTCTTACATTTACAGACATTTTATCAATCAAAACAAAATAAATCAATGACTAAATAATAATATTTTATTTCAAAATTACATAAATGACGCTTTTTTAATTAAATATTTTAATTATTTTTTAAAATAAAATAATTAAAATTTTTATTAGCCCATTGTTATCTATAATGACTCTTTTTTTATCAATAAAAAATTAAATAACTAAAAAAACAATAGTTATTTCACCCTAATTTTTTCAATAAAAATTTATATTAATTTAATAAATATAAATACCAATTTTTAGAAAAATTTTGTGTTCAAGTATATTTTAAAAAATACACTTTTACCTTTTCGGGAAATAAAAAACGCGATTTTTAAATTTTTTAAAATTATTTTTAAGAAAAGGATAGGGCTTTCTAATGATATTAAATATATATCTTCAGAACTAATGAGTTAAAGCCTAAAAAATTAAATTGCATAGGTCCTCACAACATATATAATCATTGCACAGTTTTATTCGATTTGAAGGGAGTCCACGAAAAAGGTTATTTTTTGATCGATTTGTCATGGAATGCCCCCCTCCCCCTATAGAAGCATTTAATATTACCAGAATAAGATTGAGGTATGACTCTTGGTGGTAAATCTTCTGGTATGAGAATATGATCATTGAGAGGAATATTGGAAGGTTGGAATAAAAAATGCATGATATTGCAAGTGGAAAGATTCCCAGTTTCCATGTTCTTCATTTCAGAATGAACCTTTACCATTACGTTTTTGCCCGATGTGTAAACTACCTTATAAAATTCATTTTGCGTTAAAAAAAAGATTGTATTAACTTAATAGCATTATCGATAATTAATTTTGAATATTAATTGCGGTTATAAAGAAGTAGCTAAAATTTTATAAGAATAATAATCGAATCTAAAGCACGTATTATGTATAAACGAAAGTATATTATAAAAAGTGGTTAAAAACTTGTCCAGAAAGATAGAGTATGGATCCTATACTGACGGATTGTTTGAAAACTACATCGTCAACGCGCAAAATTTTTGGCCTAATTCTCATGAAAGAAAATGCAGTAACCCAACCCAATTCGTAAGCTTGGCGCATTAGAAATCCTCCAAATATAGTGTTGTTCAAATTGCGTTCCTGATATGGAGAATTTTTTTTCATCAAGTTATTGAAAATGTCGTTAATAAACGGGAGTTGCGTTAAAATGAAAGATAGTGAAGGAATAACTTCATTCATCTGCATTATAACATCGTTTAAATACAGTACCAATTGATATCATTCACAACCTAATTGATTATACTGGCTCGATATAAAGCATGCTTTAAAGGCCCATGGAAATTTAACCGTTATTACATATTTTATGTTTCGCACTATATTTTTTATACCTAAGAGTAAAAGGTTGTCTTTTGGGGTATTAGATTTCAAAGCTATTACATTTAGTTTTTTGAAGTATTCCCTTTATTTCTGGCATTACTAAGTTATTTTTATCTATTTAATATTCCTCAAAAATTGTTTAAGCCAATAGGATGACATGGTGTTGTCACCTAAACTTAGGCGCTTTTTTTAAAAACGATAAATCAAGATTTGATCCAAAAAAGATTACCCAAGGCCTTGAGATTTGGCTTGTGGATGAGAGATGTAACTCTCTTACCAAATCTCTAAAGAGGTTTATTTTTTGGCTAAAATTTTGACGAGGTTTTCGACAACATATAATATAACCATAATACTATGCTATATATATAAAACGTATGTCATTAAATTAGATAGACAGGAAAAGATTTACCTGAGGATGACAAATGATCACGGTTTTGACAAGTGTGTCATGCATCCATCTACTTCTATGAGGTAAAAACCTGTGCTTAAAGGTCCCGGCCAGGGGATCTATAGTTTCGGAGAAAAGCTGATGCATAATTTCCCTTTCCTCAGCAGAAGGTGCCATTTTAAGAAGGGTGCGAGATGCGGCTGCCCTTCGCAAAGCGTGATTTAGAGCTCCCTGACCGAACAAATGTTCTTCATCTTTCGTCATTGGTAGGTGACTTGAAGGGGAAGATGATTCAACAGCTTTAGCAAAAGGTGGGAGAGGATTAACAAAAACGGAAATTCTGGCCGGATCAGATCGGTCTCTGGCTACCATCAAGAACTTTGTTTCTAACACGTGACACCATTCTTGAGAGGTGTTAGAAGACGATTTAGTAGACTGGGAGTTTACCTAGAGAAATAGATTAGATCATAAAGAGTTGATATAAATAAGTAAACAGGAGAAAATAATAAAAAAATATTAAGGGTGTGCTATCCTTTTAAATTTATATATTCTTCTTGACGTTATATAAAGAATAATAAAATTTTTTTTAAAAGAATATGATTATACGGTAAGAAACAAGTAGATCGAAATCGGATCAGCGCCCATAGAAAATATTAAATGAGCCAATATTTTTATAAAAATGATCCTTATTAATAGTTTCATTCTAAAAGTTTTAAATAATATTTTATAAAGTAAACAATATTTGGGAGTAACATAGTAATGTTACCATAGTGTTAAGTGTAATATCGTACTGATACATTCATAAACTATATGTCAAAGGTTATATTAAATTTATAGAATAATATCCAAATATTATATATATGAAATTGTATTTAGTACAATTAAAAAATCAATGACTATCGTTCTCAATAAATGTATTCATTGACTTGCCACATTTATATAGGTAAATTTAAACGAACCGTTTTTTAAAATCGGCTCAAATCGAGCCGTTTAACAACATTAGGTTATAAATTAATTTTGCATCCTATTTTTTAATTATTCACTTTTTGATTTTAAGATTATTAAATAATTAAATATAACTTTTGTCCATTTAAGATCTGATGTAGTACGTATCATGGAAGATAAAATCTCCACATCAAGATCCAACATACAAGTGCAGTAGATTTGTGTATATTGGTACTGTTAGACAATAATTTAACCTACTGTCAGGACCCTTTTAAATGTAGAGAGATGAGGATATCATTGCTAGTCATATAGCAAAACGTAGGGAAAATTTCGAGGGAAAAATTGGAAATTTCCTCCAAGTTTTCCCAATTTTAATATTGTGGTTTTTAGATAAAATAATCACGATTTTTATCATTTAAAAAATAATATCTTTTATTCAACTTTCAAAAAAGTTATCCAGATTTGAAATTTATATTAAAATATATTTATGGAAATAACTTTTTGAAATATGTCAGAATTAAATTGTTGCTTTATCAATTAAACAAGTTTTAAAATATTTATTTTCTCTTGTTTGTTCGATGGAATTAAAGAGGGCTTCAAATCATAATTTTTATGAAATGAATTTCTAAAAAAATATTAAGAAAAATAAGTAAATTTAATTAGTTATAATCAGAGTTGGTAAAAGATACTTCAAATGCATCGATATATACATACATCGCCTAAATGTATTCAGATACATATACAATTTCAAGATACATTTTTACTTTAATAATGTAGGATGTGCATATAATGCCTCATTTAGGATTCTATTGTAAAATTTCGATTTTTGAAGTGAAATAAAAAAAATTAATTAGTTGTTATCTCATCTATATATCAGTAGCGTCACTAAAGGAGGGAGGAGCAGGGGCTTGAGACTCCTGAAAAATTTGAAGATTTTTTTAACCCAAAAAAGAAAAAAAATGTCATTTTTAAAATGTTAACTAAAAAAAGCTTATTTGAAAAAGTTAGGAGCACCCTGAGATTGTAAAGGCTAGTGACGCCCTGCTATATATAAAATATATAATTAAATGATTATAAATGTCAATATTCACTATTTACCCCTCTAGCCTTTTAAAATGTTGCACGTTGAAGTAATGTTAACTAAAATTTGGGTATTTTTAGGAAGACATGGCGAATCCTTAGAAATTTGTTTGCTTAATTATGAGAAATTTAGGCTTTATAAATGATCAGGAGATTGATGCTGGGTTAATTATTTCTTCATCATCACTATGTTGTTATCATCCATTGGGTAAAATAAAATTTGTCTGGTTTATCTTTGTAATGAAATAAATTCCGACATAATATTTAATAAACATAATTTAAATATTTCTAATATAAAAAAACGTAAAAATTACATCAAAATATATCTAAAAATGTATCTAATAATTTTTTTATAAAAGTGCATCTTAAAAGATGTAGTACAGATATAACATTTTTTTATCTAGATACTTTAACAACTCTGCTTAGAAAGTCGGGTACCTGGTTTCCATAAGTATTAATTTTATGGAAAAAGTAAGTTCCAGGATTGACTGATTGTTTAACTATTGATCAGATCAGGGTCTTGATAGGAAATTGCATATCAATTACTTTTGATCATTTTCAAAGTGAATAAGCTGATTAAAATATGACTTGGCTGCTAAAACTCTCTATTTTAGTTTTCATTATTGTAGCTTTTTTGATTATCACGAGATAAAAATAATGTTTATAATAGACTAAAAAAGTAGGACTCTATAATAATTAAAATATTAGGCTAAGAACTTTTTTTTATTACATAGAAAACATTTTTAAAATTAGTTTTTGAAGGTTTTTTTAATGTAAAGGTAGTAGAAGGAACCCTTAAGAATAATATTTAGGCAATAAATCGATTTCGACCAAAAGTGGAAATAGAACCTGGTATAATCAAGCAACTATATAAGATTTTGAATAATAAAGCATATCGGGTCTATTTTGGTAAATATTAGAATGGAATAGGGGTAAAAAGTGGTTAGGTGCAGTCCCGGTAATAAGACTATCACTTTTGATAAAAAAATTAAGTAGTAGGAAAAGATATTAAAACCTTAGATATATGGAATTTTAAGAATAAAATGCTGTTTGATTAATTCGCGTATTATAATTTGGCAAATTTCGTTTAGACGAATATATTAAAAAACTATTAATTACTACAATTAGAAATAGAAAATACTTTCTTCATAATAAACTAAAGGCGTCGTAAAATTATCGTAACATTTTGCTCGATATTGTTGCCATCGAAATTACTGAGCTTTTTAAAGCAACAAATAAAATATTCAGCCTCTAAAACTAAAAATTCTATATTATATACTAAAGGTTGGGCCATTTGTTCGATTTTCATCGTGATTTCCATGGAAGTGGTTCCTACCCATGTGGTCATGCCGGAAAATTTGATATTTCTATCCGTGGTTATGGAATAATCGGCGAGCGCTATAATAATGTATTTACATTATTGATTTAAAAAAAATTCAATTATAAATATGATTATTAAGTTTTTTTAATGAGCAAATATCCTGTTACCTTTAAGTCAAAAAATTTTCAAAATAAAAAAAAAATGATACTCGCATTTATACATCATGCGTCCTAACTCGATTTCGTATATTACAATAATAAATTAATATTTTATAAAATAAAATTGTGACTTTGGAAGCACCCTTTTCATTTCTTTTTTAGAAAATGACACTTAAATTTAAAAAAATAATATGCTTTTTGAGGGGAAAACACAATGCTAAATACTTCTGCTCAATTTTTAAACCCTATTATAATCCCCTCCTATAGTAACAAACCCGACCGGATAAATAAATATAGACATCCGGCCCGGAGCCGGCAAAAAATGTAATTAATATATCGCAAATATAATTTAAAATTACTAATTTTATCCACTAATGCAGTTACCATATTAAAGGGAATTTTTCCAGGTTCCAATCCGGCTCGTTTTTGATTGTGCTTGTAGCCTATCCAAACTATAACATTTGTTTTTAAATTAAATGATTTTAAAAAAATTGTGCCTAATGTGTTTTTCATTCATTTAAATTTTATTAATTATATTTATCTTTTATGTTGAGTAAAAAATATACTTAATTGAAACAATTTACAAAGATATCAATGAACGTTTATACATATTACTTATTACTAATGTCAATCACATAAGTAACCATTTACATATCATAAAAAACATGATAATTTATGGATCAAATTTGATTAGAATCAATTTAGGTTGGACAAATTTTCAAAAAAATATAATATAAATACAAATATGTTTAAAGAATGTATTTTAAATTTAAATACATTAAATTCAAATACTTTGAAGAATTTTGCAAATCGTATTTATATAGTATTACTTAGAGGATTACAATGCCCGGTCCGGTACCCGGCCAGGCCCATAAGCCGGGTTGGGGTTTATTTGGGCCGGGCCAAAAAATTATAGGAATATTAATGAATTCTGATATTTGATAGTAATTTACCAAGAGTAGTGTTTTTTTTTTAAATTTAAACTCTCCTATATTATAAATAGTGGTTTATTTTGGTGTTCAACTAACATACATTTCGGGCTAGGCCTTATATTAAAAAGAATCGAGCTGGGCAATTTTAGTATAAAATTGGAAATGGGCCAAACGGGGTTAAATTAGGCGCGCCGGGACAAAACTATTCCGACCAGACGGAGCTGTGAAATTTTGCCATTTTGCAGACCTCTAGTATCAGTAACAATTTTTTATTATCAATTTTTTAAAATTTAAATAATTATGTAAATTAATATCATCCATCATATCGAAGATTGCTCATTATCATATTTTATCTGCGGTAATACATTATATATATTTATTGCAGCATCATATCATAAAAATAATGTTATAACTGCAATATTATTAATTGCATAGTTTTACACAGATAAATTTAAGCATAATTGAACAATAAAATGAAATATATTACACACGCAGAATAATTTCACTTAGATTACAGAAAATAAATTTTTAGTTTATAATTATTTATCAAAATGATGACTAATTTTTTTCAAATAAAATATCATTTTTTTATCTATGCCTATTAAATTTGCTAAACTGAGTAATCTTTCTACTGGAGCAGAAGATGGTAAATTAGAATTTTATTAAAAATTTTTCTTTTATAAATTCAAAATTATTTTATATACATATTACTATATATCTTTGCCCTCAAATAATTGAATACTTATAACTGAATTGTTAGGATTAGGAGTATTATTAACATTTTATACATGACCTAGTGGCGTAGCAAAGATTTATTATGGGGGTAGGGTTTAAATTCTCCGAGGAGTTTTCGCTCCCAAAGCCCGTTTTGCCCCTTTGGCATAGTTCCTTTTATAAAAAAACAATTTTTTTTTCGTCGTTATTTTTATACTAAACAATATTTTGGCCAACTTTAAGATTAAAAAACAACTGATAGCATTATTGTAAAAATCTAACGATTAAAGAGCAACTGAAAGCTTTATTCTGAAAATTTTATCAATGTTTAATGCTAAATTGTAAATTGATTATATCCGGTTGGTAGACAGTAGGAAAAAAAATTGGCATTATGCTAGAATGGAAAATATATTTAAAAAACTATATATCTGGCGTAGGATAATATTTAGTGCCTGAATAGTACTTTTTTAAGTCCTAAATCAAAATATGGAACCAAAAAAAATTGAGTTATAAACAAAATAAAAACTATGACGTCATGCTTTAAAACGCGAAGGTAGCCAAGTTTTTAGAAAAATCTGAAACTTATACTAAACCCGTAAGTAGGGTTTTATTAGAAAATTTAATTGTTTTATTCTGTTTGTTAGATGGTTTAAATGGTAAGAGAATTATTGGTAATATAAAAATTGTCAAAATTAGCATCATACCAGAACAGATTATATAAAAGTTATAACTATCTGGCTTGCGTTAATATTCAGCACCTTACTTATCTATAATCAATTTCACCAGCCACAATGAACCTAATACAAACTACGATTCATACGCATATTATAAAAATTAATATAGTGCATGGTTGAAGAAACGGTTTGCGGAATATGCCCAAGAGAAATTGGTGATAATGTCTTAGCAGTAGTGAAGGTCAACGGTCCGGTCCTATCGGTCTTAGACCGGGACCGATCTTTTTTTGAGGACCTTGGTCCGGACCGGTCTTTTTATTTTTTACAGTCCGGACCGGTTTTTTATTAATATTTAAGTTTGCTTTACTATTCAATTAATATAATTTTTTTGCATATTTTAAATATTTTTCTAGAGGAGTTATTTTAGATTTTGTTAATTTATATTTTACAATATGAAAACCATAAGTTTGTCCAAGAAACATTTTACTTATAGTCCTAATAAAAAACATAAAGTATGTGTTCACTGCAGTACCAAATATAATGTATCGTCAGCAACAAGTAACAAAATTATTGTTTATAATATTTTAAGCAATAAATTAATCAAAATAAGCAGTATTATTATTAAAATATTTTGGTTATTATTTATATAATTCTATTTTTTCTTAAGAAACTGTCTGAATAATTCATTGTCAAAATAACTTAACCTATTCTTAATAAAATAATTAAGTACCTTAAGCAAACTTCTGATAAAATATATATTTCTAATGATGAAAATGAAAATATCTCAAAAACACAATCTACTTCTTAATTTTAATATGCCCTCCACAAGCACAAAATTACTTTCTTCAATACCATTGGATAAATTTCAAACTAACATATAAACCAATTAATAATAAAATGGGTAATAATGGACTGTCTGCCAATGAAAACTGTTGAAAGTTCAGGTCTTCATAATTTAATCAAATATTTAAACTCAACTGCTACAATTTGGTCTAAAAACAAAGTTAAAATTTTTTATGCAGCTAATTTTGAGAAACTAAGAAATTCTTTAAAAGATATTTTAAATAAAAATAATTCTTTAATAAGCTTTACCACAGATATGTGGAGCAGTATAAATAAAATTTCATTCATAGCCATTACTGCTCACTATTGATTCTTCTTTTACATTAAAAAATATTTTACTTGATATAAATCATATCCCATTTCCTCAAACTTCTGAAGAAATATCCTTAGCTATAAAAGAAGTAATTGGTGTATATCAATTGGAGGAGAATATACTGGCCTCTACAGATAATGCCAATAACATCCTAAAAAGCGTGGATATTTTGCAGAATATTTATAAGGAACAAAAATTTAAAGTCCCTCTTCTAATTCCTTTCATGGCAGTTCTACAAACAAAGACATTAGCATTTATTTAAATTAAATATTTGTATTAATTATTATATTATTCATAATTAATTTTATATTGTTTATATAATACTCTTATATTTAATAAAATGATAAAACAAATTAAATGAGGTTAAACAAAATATGTTTTTAAACAAATAAAAAGTCCGTCCTGGACCGGTCTTTTTATTTAAGACCACGGTCTGGATCAATCTTTTTCTTAAGGACCGTGGTCCAGTCCGGTCCTAGGGTATCGGTCCAGTCCGTACCAAAGACCGGACCGTGACCTTCACTACTTAGCAGTGAACAATTTTGTCTAAAGAATTTAATATTTAAATTTCAATCATTAGCTAAATCATTATGAAAAAAGGATACATATACGTTGGACAGCATAAAAAGATTAGCACTGTCTTTATATCATATTTAATGGTGCTATGATAAAACACTTTCTCCGCTAGAAAAATATAATAAAAATATACGTAAGTGAAAAAAATCTCAATATAACTGACCACAATGCTATCTTATTTACATATTATATCTACAATATTAAGGGAGGCATCTTATGAATATGAAGCTTTGCTATTTTTTTCTAGTGTATTAAAAAATAAAATTTTTATTCTCGGATCAGGAGGATCTACAGGCATTCAAATATTTTTAAAAAACACACTGAATCCGGCGTTTTTTAAAAGTAATATTTATTGGTGTGTGAGTTGACTTCCTCCAAAGATTTGAGTTTGAGATAACTCTTGGATAGAAAATACCGTGTATAGTGCGAAGACAATTATTTATAAAAGATTGAAGACGCCTTATCTCTTTGCCTCCCAGATATCCCCACCGTATAATACAATTGGAACTATCGACGAGTTGAATATCCTCAATCTAGTAAATACTGGGATTTCTCTAGCTTTTCATATTTTCCTATATCTATAGAACGCACCTCTAGCTTTTTGTATTCTCATCTTCATCTCATCTTTACAACTTCCTTTATTATCTAAGATTACACCTAAGTATTTTATTTTCTCTACGATTTTTACTGTATTCTCTCCAACTGTAAAATTTTGAATTGAAGGCGCGTTTGGGGAGGGAAGAATAACAGTTTTGTTAAAGTTGATCCTAAGTCCCACTCTATAGCTCACAGTCTCAATTAGATAAAGTAGATTCTTGGTTTCTTCAATACTTTTCGAGATTACTACAATATCATCCGCATAGGATATTGTCCTATTTACAAAAAAAATCTTCTCATTTGATCCTATATCAACTAGATCAGCAGCTCCGAGTACATCTTTTATTTATTGATTATTATGTTGAAAAGGAGAGGTGAGAGGGTGCAGCCTTGTTTTACACCTTTTTTTTATCCTGAAGAAGGGAGAGATTTTATCATTTATTTTGAAACAAGCAAATAAATTTGAATAGTGATTTTTTAAGATTCGAATTATTTGGGTTACAATACCGCATTCTGCTAGCGTTTCCCAAAGAGCTACATGGTTAACGTTGTCAAATGCTCTACTAAAATCAATGAATGTGTAGAATAAGGGTATCTTGTATTTATGACACTTCTGCATTATTATTTTCAGAGATAATATAGGTTCCAATATATTTTTATTTGGCCTATAAGCACAAATATGTTTAGGAAAAAGTTTAGGCGTCGATTGAGCAATTTTATTTTTTATAAGTACCATAAATATTTTGGACACGCTAGATGTTAGAGCGCACGCACGATAATCAGTAAATTTTTGGGGATTTGCA